AGCATTTTAAATTTTCAAGTTGTCAGTTTCTAATATGTGTAGAAATAGTCTTTTTCAAATGTAGTGTTCTTGTCTTCAGCCATCTTGCTAAACTCATATATTAGTTTTACCAGCTTTTTTGTAGATTATTTCTGATGTTTTATATATGTGATCGTGTCATTTAGGAATAAATTGTATTTTCTTGCCAATCTGAATGCCTTTTATTTCATTCTCCTGCTTTATTGCTTTGGCTAGGACCTTTATTGGAATATTTAATAGAAGTGGTAAAAATGGATTTCTTTACCTTGTTCTCAATCTTAGGGAGAAAAACCATCAATATTTTATCTTTATTTTATTTTATTTTATTTTTTTTTGAGTTGGAGTCTCACTGTGTCGCCCAGACTGGAGTGCAATGGCCGCTCCCAGCCACCGCAGCCTCGACCTGCTGGGCTCTGGCGATCCTTCCGCCTCAGCCTTCCGAGTAGCCGGAATTACAGGCATGCGCTACCATGCCCAGCTGATTTTTTGATTTATTGTAGAGATGAGGTCTCGCCAAGTTTTCCAGGCAGGTCTCGAACCCGCGGCTCATGCAATCCACTCACCTCAGCCTCCCAAAGTACTGGGATTACAGGCTGAGCCACCGAGCCCGGCTAATATTTTATCTTTACATGTGATATTAGCAGTATGTATTCAAAGATGCCATTAATCAGGTTGAGGAAGTACCTTTCTATTAGTTTGCTGAGAGTTTTTATTGTGAACACATATTGAATTTTGTCAAATTATTTGACAAAAAAATTTGCCTCCACAGATTATCATGTCTTTCCCTCGTTATTCAGGTAATATAATAAATTAATTACATGGGTTTGTTTTTAAATGCTAAGTGAACCCTGCATTCCTGAAGTTAACTCCATTTAGTTGTGGGGTTGGATTGAATGTGGTAATATCTTATTAAGGATTTTTACATGTTAATGAAGGACATTGGTTTGCAGTTTTCTTGCTATGGTATTATTTGGTGTTGGTGTCAAGGTAATGCTGACTGTATAACATGAAGTGGAAAGTATTTTGTTCTCTTCTTTTTATGGAGGAGTTTGCAGGGACTTGGCATTTTTTTTCTTTAATGTATGGTGTTATACTTATTTAGAATTTGTAGAATTTATGTAGGATTGGAATCTGTAGAAGTCCCTCTTTTATTTTTGGTATCTGTCATTTGTGTGTTCTTTTTTAATTTTCTTGATTAATATAGTTAGAGTTTTACTGATTTTGTTGATCTTTTAAAAAGTGTTTTCTGGCTTCTTTTATTTTTTTCTATTTCATTTCTCTGTTAAATAAAGTGTTAAATCACATTAAATTCATTCTGTTTCATTCCTTATCTTCTGAGTACTTATTTTGTATTTAATTTTCTTTTAATAGGGTCTAAGATGGATGCTTAGACCATTAATTTTGGACTTTTTCCTCCCTAATATAAACATTTATAGCTAAAAATTTCTTTGTAGGTTCTTCTTTAGCTGCAAACCACAAATTTTTCATATCTATTCACTTCAAATTATTTAAAACATTTCTTTGTGATTTTTTTTTTAACCCTTGGATTGTTTAAAAGTGTTGTTTAATTTCCAAAGATTTGCAGTTTTAAAATATATTTATCTGTTGATTTCTAGTTTGATTTTATTGTGATCAAAGAGTAGATTTTATATTATTTTAGTAGTTTAAAATTTTTTTTAGTTTTAAATATTTTGAAATTTGCTTTATAGCCCAGCATATAGTCCATCTTAATGAATGTTCCATGTGCACATGAAAACAATTTGGTACTTGTCAGTAGAATGTTTTAGGTCACATTGTTTAATAGTCTTGCTGAAGTCTTCTATTATCTTTACAGATTTTCTTTCTACTTGGTCACCTGTCTGTTACTAAGTGAGAACTCTTGAAGTCTTCAACTATAATTGTGGATTTACCTGTTTCTTCTTCCAGTTCTGTCAGTTTTTGCTGTATTTATTGTGAAGTTCACTTAATCGGTGTGTACTTATTTAGGAGTGTTATGTCTTCATGATTTGACAACTTTGTAATTATAGAATGACTTAGTGATCTTGATGCCTATTCTATCTGTTATTAATGTAGCCATTTCAACTTTGCAAACTTTCATACTATTTTTCCTGAATCTTTATATTTTTTATTTTACCCTGTTTTTTGAGTCAGCATCTCACTCTATCACCCAGGCTGGAGTGCACTGGCACAATTGTGGCTCACCGCAGCCTCGACCTCCTGGATCTACCTGCCTTCATTTTCTGTTTATTTTTCATTTTCTTTCATTGTGTTCATGCTTTTCTTTAACTACTTGGATATATGACAGAGTTTTAATGTCTTTGCTAATTTTATAATTTATCATTTTGGAGTCTTTTATATTGGCTGATTTTTCACTTGATTACATGTCATGTTTTCCTCTTGGCATCTCTGATAGTTATTGATTGCATGCTGAACACTGAATGTTAAATTGTTTAGTGTCTGACTTTTTGCACGTGTGTATGTCTTCCTTTTATGAGTGTCAAGTTTTGTTCTGATTGACAGTTTAGTAATTCATTATCATTACTTGGGTCGTTTGAGGGTTGCTTTTAAAGCTAAAAATTTCTTTGATTAGCTTTTACTTTAAGGATGTTTGACTTTTCTGCTAAGCTGTGGTCTTTGTGGGTTCTGTTGAAGGTCTTAGTGATCAGGGAGGACTCTCCATCCTGGCTGCTGAGATATTGAACGAGTTGCAGCTTGTATGAACTTTGGAACACTTCAGTTCACAGCCTTGGTTGGGCCTGGCCTGGCCTGGTGGAGTATCCTGTGTGTGTACATCTTAGCATTCCACAGGCATGAAGGGAGCCCCTGTGCTCTTTTTCATCATAGTTCTGTGCACTCTGAGATGGTATCCTAAAACTTCTGGTGACCTCAGCATCCCCCAGTTTGACCACCCTCACCCCAGCTCCTCACTCAGCTTGATGGCTGCGTAGAATCCTGTTCTAGGCTCTGTGGTCTGAAAGCTGGGACGGACAATCCTAGGGTTCACCTTGTGAGTTTTCTCTCTCACTGCATCACAGGCCCTTGCTGCCTGTGTGAAAACATTTGTTTCTTATATTTTGTTTAGTTTTCCAGTAGTTTAAGGTAAGAGCGTAAGTTTAGTCTTTGTTCTGCCATCATGACTAGAACTTCAAGTAGTAGTTTATATTCCTAGAGTGATATTTTTAAATGTATGAAATAAAATATGTAGAATTAGAAAGGAAACCAATTATTATGAAGTAATTTTTTTTTTTGAGTTGGAGTCTCACTCTGTCGCCCAGGCTGGAGTATAGTGGCACACTCACAGCTACTCCAGTGTCGACCTACTGGGCTCCAGCGATCCTTCCACCTCAGCCTTCCAAGTAGCTGGAACTATAGGCACATGCTACCATGCCCAGCTAATATTTTTTGTTTATTGTAGAGACGAGGTCTCACCAAGTTGCCTGGGCTGGTCTTGAACCCACGGGCTCAGGTAATCCACTCGTCTCAACCTTCCAAAATGCTGGGATTACAGGCTGAGCCACCAAGCCCAGCCTGAAGTAATTAATTTTAATAACATTTTTATAACCATGATATGGTGTCATATATGCTTAATGCATTAAATAACAAAATCTAGTATGAGGTCTAATAATACCTATAATTCTCTCTTAATTCTTTATCTGACTCCAGATTATGAACTGCTACCTTAAAACGAACTTTCCTCATGTATGCTCTGAAAAGTCTTTATGAAACCCTACAGATGGAAATGCTCTAGTTTGAAGAAAGATTCTTTTAGATAACAGATATCATCACAATTAGAGTCTGTTTTAATTTACCAAATGAGAAAAGTTAGACCTAACAATTACTAATTACTAAAATAGTTTAGAATTCGAATGCTCTAGAATCTGAATTTTTCTAAACAGTGATATGATGCTTAAAGGAATTGTTCATTAGAGCATTTCGAATTTTGGATTTTTGGATCAGGGATGCTCAACAGGTACGTATATAATGCTGGTATTCCCAAATCCCCCAAAATTTAAAATCTAAAACATTCCTTGTCCCAGGCATTTAGGATAGAGGATACTCAGCCTGTAACAATTAATGATCATTCTGCTTATTAAGCAATTACCAGTTTATAATAAGTACTCATTTATAACACATTAGTTACAAAGCTATGTAAAATTTAAAAGATAATCTTATAACTTTATACTTGTATATGTTTTGTCCCTTTCCCATCCATGCTTTTCTTTTAAATGAATTTATAGTTGCACAGTAGTTATTTTAATAGTGAATGAAGCTTTTTTATATAAAATGCAGATTTATTGCTTAATATAGCAGTAGCTTCTTTTTTTTTTTTTTTTGAGTTGAAGTCTCACTCTGTCATCCAAGCTGGAGTACAGTGGCATGATCATGGCTACTGCAGCCTTGACCTGCTGGGCTCAGGTGATCCTTCCACCTCAGCCTTCCAAGTAACTGGAACCACAGGTGTGCGCCACCACGCCTGGCTAAGATTTTGATTTACTGTAGAGACAAGGTCTTGCCAAGTTGCCTAGGCTGGTCTTGAATACTTGGGCTCAGACAATCCTCTTGCTTCCACCTGCTAGGATTACAGGTGTGAACCACCACGCCCAGCAACAATAGCTTCTTTCAGGTTTTATATTATTGTTTTTAGTGTGAAGTAGGAGTCAGACCTTTCTCACTTTAAGTCTTAAAGGATCCATGTTATAAGTTGAGCAGCATTCATTCTCTTTTTCCATGTCAGTGTCAAGTGTGAAAATGTCTTTTCCTGGTTGATAAGAACTGAGATTGAAAGGAGCAGTTTGGTTTCTAGACTTACATTTGTACTGAAGTGTATTGGATTCTCTGAAGACAGAACCAACATATACCTTTAATCCGTACTGGATTGGTTTGCTCATTGTTTGGAAGATATGAAGGTTTTCAAACGAAACTATGAGAAAGTGCTTATAAAACAAAAAATGGTCAATTCTCCCCTAATCTCTTGTGTTTCTAGGTTACTTTACTACCCAGGATTGCAGCCATGGAGTCCATGCTTAACAAATTGAAGAGTACCGTTACAAAAGTAACAGCTGACGTCACCAGTGCTGTAATGGGAAATCCCGTCACTAGAGAGTTTGATGTCGGTCGACACATTGCCAGTGGTGGCAATGGGCTAGCTTGGAAGATTTTTAATGGCACAAAAAAGTCAACAAAACAGGTAAGTTTTAATTCCGTGTCCAGTTGGAAAAAAGACATGCTAAGTACCATAAAGTACATGTTTGCAGTACATTTTTAAAGAATTTTAATTTTAGATTCAGGGAGTACAAGTCATGTTTGTGACAAGGACATCTTGCATACTGCTGGGGATTGGGCTTCAGGTGACCCGTTCCCCAGAGAGTGAACATCGTGCCCAGGACGAAACTTCTGAACCGAACCCCGCTCTGCGCTTCCCTCCTCTTCGTGTCCCAGTGTCTATTATTTCCTTCTTTGTGGCCATCTAGCTCCCACATGTAAGTGAGACCATGTGGTGTTTGGTTTTCTGTTTCTGGGTTAGTGCACTTAGGATGGTGTTCTCCGGCTCTATCCAAGTTGCTGCAAAGGACAGGATTTATTTTTTCTGGCTGTGTAGTATTCCATAGTGTATATATACCACATTTTCTTATCCAGTCAATTGTTGATGGACACTTACGTTGGTTCCATAATTTTGCTATTGTGACTAGGGCTGCAGTGAGTATAGTTATCTTTTTTATATTAGGATTTCTTTTCCTTTGGGTAGATTCCTGGAAGTGAGATTACTGGGTTGAATGGTAAATTTACTTTTCGTTCTTTGAGAACTCTCCATACAGCTTTCTGTAGAGGCTAAACTAGTTTACAGTTCAACCAACAGTGTGTGAGTATTAACCTTTTCTCTGCATCCACACCGACATCTGGGGGTTTTTTTGACTTTTTAATTATAGCTATTTTTGACTGGTGAGGAGGTGATATCTCATTTTGGTTTTGATTTGCATTTCTTTGATGATTAATGACATTTGGCATTTTTTCATATGTTTATTGGCCATTTGTGTGTCTTCTTTTGGGAAAGTGTCTTTTCATGTACTTTGCCCACTTTTTGATAGGGTTCTTTCTTTTTTTCATGTTGTTTGTGTTCCTTGTAGATTGTGGGTATTAGTTTTTGTCTGAGGCATAATTTGCAAATATTGTCTTTTATTCTGTAGGTTTTCTGTTCACTTTGTTGATTATTTCTTTTGCCATGCAGAAGCTTTTAATTAAGTCCCATTTATCTGTTTTTTTTAAATTTGCTTTTGTGTTTTTGCCAAATCTTTGCTTTTACTAATGTCCAGAAGTGTTTTTCCTGGTTTCCTTCCAAGATTTTTATAGTTTGAGGTCTCACATTTAAGCCTTTAATCCATCTTGTGTTTATTTTTGTCTATTGTGAGGGGGTCCAGTTTCATTCTTCTGTATATGGCTAGCCAATTTTCTCAGCACCAGTTATTGAATAGGGTATCCTTTCTCTGCTGTTTATTTTTGTTGGCTTTGTCAAAGATCAGTTGGTTGTAGGTAGGTGTTTTATTTTGGGGTTCTCTATTATGTTCCATTGCTCTGTCTGTCTAGTCTTCTACTACACTGTTTTAGTTACCATAGCCTTGTAGTATAGTTTGAAGTCAGGCAATGTGATGCTTCTGCCTTTGTTCTTTTTATTTATGATTGCTTTGGCTATTTGAGCTATTTTTGATTCCATGTAGACTTCAGGATTGCTTTTTTCTAGTTCCGTGAAAAATGGTACTGCTATTTTGATAGGGATTGCACTGAATCAGTAGATTGCTTTGGGCAATATGTTCCTTTTAACAGTATTGATTCTCCCAGTCCATGAGCATGGGATATTCTTCCATTTTTTTTGTGTTGTCTCCAGTTTCTTTCATCAGTGTTTTGTGGTTCTTCTTGTAGAGATCTTTTACCTCCTTGGTTAGGTGTATTCCTAGGTATTTTATTTTTTTGCGTGGCTGCTGTAAGTGGGATAGAGTCTATTCCAGTGCACTAGGTCTTGTAAGTGGGATTGAGCTCTTCATTTGGTTCTCGGCTTGAGTATTATTGGCGTATAGAAGCACTGCTAATTTTTGTACATAGATTTTGTATCCTAAGATTTTACTGAAGTTGTTTATCAGGCCTAGGAGTCTCTTGTAGGAGTCTTTAGAGTTTTCTAGGTATACGATCATGTCGTTAGTGAACAGAGATAGTTTGACTGGCTCTGTACTGATTTGAATGTCTTTTATTTCTTTCTCTTGCTGGATTGCTCTGGTTAGGGCTTCTAATATGATATTGAATAGGAGCGCACAGGTCTGTATTTTTGTTAAAGAATGCCAAAAGTTCTTTAATGGGTTCTTAATGGGTTCTTGGGTTCTCATTTCATCTTTTGAAGTCATACAAAAACAAATGCTTTAAACATGCTCTGTATCTCCTGATTACAGATAAACAAACAGATGATTCTTAGGTACATGGAGGTCATTAGTGTTCAGTTTTACGAGAGGTTTCTTTTGGAATTGTTAAAGAATAAAAAATGTTCAGGTCTAAAATCTTTGTAGAAGTATGTTCTTTTTAATTTTTATTTTAGAGTTGTGGAGTACAAGTGAGGATTTGCTATATAAGTAGGCTGCGTGCAGGTGAAGTTTGGGTTTCTAGCTGGCTCTCTCTTCCCTTGGTAGTGAACCAGGTACCCACTGTGTTTCCCTCCCTTCTTCCCTCCCTCCCTTTCTCTTTCCTTCCCAGTACCCAGGGTCTCTCAATCCAACCTTTGTGCTAGTGTAACTAGTATTCAGGGCTTGCTTATGAGTGAGAACATGCAGTATTCAGTTCTTTGTTTCTGTGATAGTTCACTTAGTATGATGGTCACTAACTGCATCCAAATTGCTGTGAAGGCCATGGTTTTATTCTTCATGGCAGTATAATCCGTTGTGTATATGTACCACATTTTCTTTATCCAGTCTACTTTCTTTTTTTTGAGTTGCAGTCTCACTCTGTCACCCAGGCTGGAGTACAGTGACACACTCATGGCCACCACAACCTTGACTTGCTGGGCTCAGGCAATTCTTCTGCCTCATCCTTCCACGTAGCTGTGACTACAGGTGTGCATGACTATGCCCAGATAATGTTTTGATTTTTTGTAGAGATGAGGTGTCACCAAGTTGCCGAGGCTGATCCCAAACCTGTGGGCTCAGGCAATCAGTCCTCTCACTTGATCTTCCCAAAGTGCTGGGATTATAGGTGTGAGCCACTGCGCCTGGCCAGTCTACTTTCGATGGGCATCTGGGTTGGTTCCATGTTTTTGCTGTTGTGAATAGTGCCACAATAAACATGTGTGTGCAGGTGTCTTTTTGGTAGAGCGATTTATGTTCCTCTGGGTATATGCCCAGGAGAAGGATTGCTGGATTACATGGAAGCTCAGTTTTTAGTTCAGAAGTACGGGGGGAGACCCCCAAAAAACCAGAATTAAGTTTTTGGAGGGCAGGCCGTTTGTAGTTGCATCAGTGTACTAGCTAGTGTTGTGAGAGGCTGTGTTTGGCTTCAGTGAATTTTTTTGAAGGTTCTTTCAGTGCATTTGCCCCTTTCCTGATGGGTGATTTGTGAGCCCACCTGCTCACACCATGCTTAATGTTCAGCAGTTTTTGACCAGAAACGGCATGCGTGCTCCACCCTCCCTCTTCACCTGATCTCACCCTAGGTGACTTTTGCTGGTTTTTTTTTTGGATGAAAAAAGTCCTCAAAGGGAGACATTTTGCCGATGTGGAAGAGGTGAAACAAAAAACTGCAGAAACACTAAAAGGCGTCAAAATCGATGAGTTCAAAAACTGTTTTGAGCAGAGGAAAAAGTGACACTTGATAGGTGTATTACATCAAACAGAGAGTACTTTGAAGGTGACTGGAGTTTAAACATGTAAGAATAAAGACACAATTTTTTATAAATAGATTCTGGGTTTTTTTGAATCTCCCCTTGTAAGTATGCTCTTTAAAAAAAATTTACTCATTTCAGAAATACTTTTACTTCCTAAAAGTAACATACACAGATTGTGCAATGTAAGGGATTTATTTCACATACTTCCCAATGACTACCACAATCATGCAATCATGGGTATACATTATTTGTTACATTTTCAAACTAGCTTTTTTCCCAAACAAGTATATTGAAGACCGAATTGGCTTTGGTTATTCTTTTATGACATAGGAGTTTTGGTCCTATGATACATTGCTGGTATGTTGTTTGTACCTGACCTGTAAATTTTGCTTTCATTGCCATTTGGAAATTTTTGCTTTATTGAGATCTGAAATTGATCTGCATCTTAAATGCTGATTGATTTAAGTTGTTATTTTTGAACATTGCTTTTTCTTTCTTTCTTTTTTTTTTTTTGAGTCTGAGTCTCACTCTGTCACCTAGGCTGGAGTGCAGTAGCATGCTAATGGCCACCTCAGCCTCAACCTGCTGGGCTCAGGTAATCCTCTTGCCTCTACCTCCCAAAGTGTTGGGATTACAGGCATGAGCCACATGCCCAGTGTTTTTTCTTTCAGTTCACTAAGAACTCATCCAAGAAATAAGTGGTTTTTTGGAGAATTGACTGCGTAAAAACTTTTTTTTTGAGTTAGAGTCTCACTCTGTCGCCCAGGCTGGAGTGCAGTGTCACACTCATGGCCACCCTAGCATTGACCTACTTTGCTCTTGTGTTCTTTCTGCCTCGGTCTTCCAAGTAGTTGGAACTGCAGGTGTGTGCTACCACACCTGGCTAATTTTTTATTTATTGTATAGACGAGGTCTTGCCAAGTTACCCGGGCTGGTCTTGAACCCGCAGGCTCAGGCAATCCACTTGCTTCGGCCTCCCAGAGTGCTGGGATTACAGGCTGAGCCACTGAGCCCAGCTCTTTTTTTTTTTTTGAGTCAGGGTTTCACTCTGTTGCCCAGGGTGGAGTAGAGTGGCACCATCATGGCTCACCTCAGCCCCGACCTCATGGGCCTAGGGATCCTTCCACTTCAGCCTCCCAAGTAGCTGGGACTCTAGGTGTGTGCCACCATGCACTCCTGGCTTTTTTTTCTGATTTTTTTTGTTGAGGCGAGGTCTTGCTATGTTTCCTAAGCTGGTCTCAAACTCCCTGGCTCAAGCAATTCTCCTGCCTCAGGCTTCCAAAGTACTGGGATTACAGGCATGAGGCATTGTGCCCAGCCTGAAATTTCCT